ATACTAGTGAATGTGCGAAGGGGGTTATGCCTTTCATCTTGGTGCATGTATTTTCTTGGTCCTCTAAGAAACAACTACTACTTGCTCTATTAATAGCAAAAGGCAGAGTACATAGCAACAACTAATTGTGTCACTCAAGCAGTTTGGTTACAAAGAGTATTAAGTGAGTTACAACACCAACAAAAAGGACCAACAAAGATATTTTTTGACAACAAATCAACATTTGCTTTAACAAAGAATACATTATTTCACGGGCGTAACAAACACATTGATATTAAACATCACTATATTCATGACTTGATCAAAGACAAAGAAATTGTGGTGGAGTATTATGCTTCTAAAAATCAAGTAGTAGATATTTTCACAAAGACACTCAACGTCAATTTTTTATTAAAGTTAAAGAATATGTTTAGGATGATCAAGTCAAATTTAAGAGAGGATGTTAGAAATTAAACCTGTTAGAAGATAAAGCCAACTTATTACTAGCTACACTATCTTTACAAAGAAGACAAATCTAAGTTGAATTCTTCATCATCATAAAAGAAGATAAATTTAAGTTGAACTTTTCATCATCATAAAAGAAAACAAATTCAAGTTGAATTTGTTTGCTTAATTATTGAGAAAACGACCTCCTCTAAACTAAGATGTTATAGAATATGAAGTTTTATGGTGAAATAGTTTATTACTTAATATTTATTGTATGAAGTTTATTTTAAAAAAAAACTTCAACTAGTTTTTTTTTTTGTGGTTGTTTAAGTGTCTAATTGGCTATTAATAAAGTCAAAGTCTTCTAAATAATTAAGCGTATTAATTTTTCAATAGAAAAATTATTTCTTGAGTATTCTAATAGTATTCAACAATAGGGCAATTTATTTTAATTGCCAACACTATCTAATGTAATGGAGTCCCACGAGTTCGGTGACTGAACCAATCTTTTCAGGCCCAAATAATCGTTGGGATAGATCATAAACAAATTCAAATTCAGTTGAAAATCAAGACAAAAATATAAAATTAAATTAAATCAGTTCAAAATATAAATAAATTGTAAAAGATTCTCACCTCTGCGTAAACTTCATAATCCGACATGCAATTTGTATTGTTTGGATTAAGATGGATGTAATCCCCGTTACAATTAGCTTTAATTGACTGTAAAAGAGAAATATCACCTTAATCCACATAATGATACTTTTTAAGAATTTTTGCTATCAACCCAAAATACTTCAAAATACAAACATTTCGAAGACAACTTGTTTTTTATCAGCAAAACAAAGCTAATTGAATTAAAGAGAGTATGAGGAGTACCCGAATCCTCACATCATCAAAGTCTAATTTAATTAGAACATTGAGCAATGCAATGTGTAAACTACTACTACTAATAATAATAACTACAATATCTAAACTACACATAGCAAAAATGATAGTAAATGAGTTGAATAATAACCTCATATAGCTCATTCGATATTAGTGTTCGTTGTTGAGCAAATTGAACTCTTGCATTGAAATCCAAGTAAGTGTCAAGTAATGGACTTGCAAGCACAAAACCCTAGTGAAGTTCAAAGAAAGATCAAATGTAACTAAGATATATGCTTCGAAACCAAAATGTTATATCAAACAAAATAAATCATGAGCATTATAGTATACTTTAAAGTTTAGGAGTGGGAAATATCCTGCTTTATAACCTGCAAGTCAGTAAAAATATTCATCATAAAACAATTTGGAGCACAATAAAAAAAAAAAAAATTTTATTGGTGGAATCAATGGCAAATCAATTAATGTTCACCTTTATATACTTTTTGTACAAGGGGAGCAACAAATAAGCCTGAATACGAACCACCACCTATATAAGCTGGATTTGATTGAAATTTGGGGTGATCCACAAGCCACTTCATACAATATAGAGAAACAAATAAAACAATCATAACTACAAACCATCACTTTCTAAATAAGAACATAAAATATATAATAGCAAATAGAATTTTCTGCAAAAATATTAGTTTGAAATAACGTAAACCTTTTGTAGAAAATCATAGATATGTTCCACCGTTTGCTTATCATTGCTATAATAACCTTGTTGGGTTTTTGAGTAAGAAAATCCTGTACCAACTGGTGCATCGACATATAATATGTTGAGTACCTGCATTTAACATGCGTTATTTTTCAAATTGAGAGGTTATAATACTTTATTACCACAACAAGTTTAAAACCGTTCTGTGTTTATGATTAATAACTCAATTTTTTGAGATGATTAACGATGATTTATATGTAGTTGCATTCTTCTTAACTTTATTCTTTAAAATTAAATATCAGTTAATAGTCACACATTTTGAATTCAATCGGTTTAAGTATCTAAAAGTATTAAATTTGTATTTATTTTTCTTATGATTCACTTAGTGTTTATTAACGAACATATATTTAATGAAAAATGAAATACATTTAGGATACCAAGAATGAAAGATAGTATTTATTTACTAATGGAGGGTGGTTCGAGTAATAAGTAATTTGGCATAACTTAAGGTCATGAGTTCGAGTAATAAGTAATTTGGTATAACTTAAGGTCATGAGTTCGAGTCTTTGTCTATACAAAGTGTTGAATCTGGATTAAACCAGATAGGAATTAAAAAAAATATGTTTTTTTTTAATTTATTAATATATTATAATTAATAATAAAATAATAAAATAATATTATATTTGTTCAGTATATGCAGCAGGCAGTACAGGATGGAGAACACCTTTGTCCAAGTGTTTGGATTCTGTTGAAGTACCGGAAAAGTCCCATTAAAATTGTCATAATTGAACATCAACGGCCCTGCAAAAGATTTTTAAACAAGAAACATAACGTGTTATTGAGTAAGTTTAAAATTTGTGATTATTTGAAAAAAGCTGTAAAAAAATAATGTTTATTTATGCATGGGAATATTAAAAAGTTAATTTATCTTTTGATATTTCAGGTATTTCTTTTAATTGAGGCAATATGATTTTTTAAAGAAAAAATTTACAGCTTATGATTAAAAATTATCAGGTTAGTTTTAGTTAACTCTTATTTTCTTATTTTATCTTTAATAATTAACTATTTTAAATATAAAACGAATAATTACACATAAATTTACATTCTTTGTAATTTCACTATAAAAATGTGATTCTTTATACAATACAAATAAATAGATTATTTTAAAATTACTTCTCACTAAATATATCTAAACCTAAAACTTATGTTGTATAATCAATTATAACAATATAACTAATTATAAATATCGTTAATGATTAAAATTGTCTATTTTTCTAGCTAATTGAAAAATGCACTTAGTTTTATAATACTTGTATTGTTAAAATGATGAGAACTTAATTTTTTCGACACTCCCATCGATACTTGCTTTCTTTTGAAACTTAGTTTTATATATATCAATGTATAAACTCCCATCAATAGTTGATATTTATAATACTATTTTTTGTAATTTTAGAGAAGTTCAGAGGATTTATGACACAAATATGTACCGTTTTCATATAAGAAACCTGAAAGGCCAGAACAACCAGGTCCCCCAATAAGCCAAAGTAGGAGTGGATCATTCATGGGACTCCTTTCAGACTCAACGAAGTAATAAAATAGCTGCACCTCTTCTCTTTCACCCACTCCTACGTACCTGTATTAGAGGGTACATACGTTGTAGTAGGTTAAATTTAGCCACTTTAATTTCTTAATTATTAGTTAGTAGTTTTCTTTATTGAAAATAAATGTATTTTAATTTGATAATATTTGAAAATAAAAATATAAATGATTATAGCCTTACCCATGTAGCATGATCAATGAATAAGCGACTCACCCGGTTTCCAACGTGAATGGAAGATGCCCAAAACCTGGTAGGGATTTGACGATGAAATTTGAAGATGCGATGTGCAACAAATGCAGTGTGGTAACCAAAATGCACCATGCCTTCGAAACCCTAGCCATTGTGCCACTGTGTGATCATATAACACACTCTATAGACGAGGGTATATATATTTATACTAACAGTTTGAATGAATACATCACGAGATCTAAACCCTTGTGATTTTGGATACTTTATTTAAATATTGGATATGAGAATTTGGATTCAATTATTGCTCGGAGATCTGTGCACCAGCTCCATATTTTAGCAATTGGGTTGTTTGCCCGCAAATCAATCTTCGATGAATTAATTATCTTATCTTTATGCACTTTCACGTTAACTTTTCTTTGCTCACAAACTCGGATATATATATAAATACATTCTTCATTTCTCTTTATATATTATTAAAAAATTGTTTTATTTATTTGTCGATGTAATAGTTTAAAATAATATTAAATTAATAATAAGACTCTTTGGTTTGAATATTTTTTTTCCCTAAACAGATAAATAGGAATGAAAGTACTATTATTTTATAGAACTTTTATCATTATTTAGTTGATGAAAATAAAATTGTCATTTAAAAAGCTAGTTCAATGAATAGGATCTTAAAAGCTATTTTAGTGAAAGTTTTCTTATAATTTCTTATTTCATTTTTTTATAATGACGTGATAAGAGCGGAAAAATAATTTAAAATATAATTATTTGTTTAGCAACGATTTTTTAAACAAATTGTGAAATCAATAAGAGAGATTTATAATTTGTTAAAGGGGAATCGCCCAAAATAAAGTACATCTATCTAAAATGAGAATGATAGGTTTTTATTAAGATAATGTAGGCATGTGCAACTAAGTTTCCATTCCTCTTCACGTGGGACATTGTGCAAAATATGGATAGCTTTTAATTAAAACATTGAACTAGGAAAAAGAAATCTGACTTAGCGCATAAGAAATTAAAGTTGATAATTTGTTATTATTATGATTTTTTATATAACGGGACTTAAAGTCCAAAGAAAACACTACGCTAAAAACAAGTTTTCAAAACGCTAATTTAGACAGCAGTCAGTAGACACCGCTTTATAACAATACATTTAGAGAGCGCTTAATTTTGAATCGCTCTTAGATCTATACTTTTGAGAGCAATTTTTCTATTAATCAATCATTCTCTAAAGTCACACATTGAAATAATAAAGAACCGCTCGCTAAAGTCACTTTTAGAAAGCGGTTAACAAAGAACAATTTTCTAAAGTCTTTAATTTTTCTAAATGAAACACGCTTAGTTCATTAGTCCCTTTGTCACTCAACTCACGAATCTCTTCGTTTTGTTCTTATAGCTCTGTATTTCATCTTTTCTACATTAATAAAGTTGGTGTCTTTGATCTATTTCACGTTTGTAAGTTTTCTTTGTCTTCTTTGCTCTCTTTATCTTCTTTGCACTAACAAATTGATATTTTTTCACATCTATAGGTACTTTTCACAGTTCTCTCCATTCTCTCTTTTTTCTTTTTCTCTTTATTAATAGTGAATCATCAATTATTTTTTTCTTTCTTTTTCTCTTTATTGATGATAAATTATCCTACTAATTTGTTCTCTTTTACTCTGCTTACTTGTGTTTGGTTCATGCAGATGTGGACTGTTTGTTAAATACAATATATAAACTCAAGATTTAATTTTTATTTGTGATAAAAATGAAAAAAATTTGAATATCAGACCTATAAATTAAAATGTAAATGTAACTATAATTAATTTTAGTTTGTAACAGAAAACTCACAAAGAAATAAATTTTAAATTTCAAATTTTTTATACGTTAGAGAGCATTTTCGCATGGAACCGCTCTCTAATCTTACACTCATACTTTGAAAAGCGGTTGGGTGTAAGATTAGAAAGCGGTTTCCACGTAACCGCTCTCCAATCTTAATATTTGAGAGCAAATGTTTAACCGCTCTCTTAAATTCAACACATTAGATAGCTAAGATTTTAAAGCAGTTATAAATGCTCTCTAATTTAAAACGGAACTACTTTTACATCTCCTTTTTGGCGTAGTGAAACCAAAATCTTAGAATCCTACTCTGACAGACTAGATAAAGCACAAAAAAAGAAAGAAAGAAGAGACCTAGGAGCTACATCAAAACAAAACAAGTACAAGAAGATGGCTAATTTGTCACCACAATTATTTGAATATGATAAAATTAATAAACTTTAAAACATTCCTAATACTTTCAAATCAGATGAAAAAGAGGGTGAGACTGATTTTGTAAATGTAAAGTTTGTAACACACTTATTTTATTTATGAAATTTATGAAAGTTATAATGACGAAGAAAAATAAACTAAATTTCTTTAAGTTTCTAACAATCCATGGATACAAAGGTAATAAGTTTCTAAGACTCACTTATCTTATGCTTTCGGTCTATTTTTGCTTCAAAAAAATGGGCTTAAAGTTCTTCTGCTAGTAAAAATGAGGCTAAGCAAGTCATGAACTTAATTTTGAGTGATTCTAGGTTTTGTAAATCCATCAAGTATTGCCTAAAGTGAGTGATTCCTATTGTAAAAGTATTAAGACTTATAGATAGTGATTCAAAATCAGTCATACCATATATTAATGAAACAATAGATAGAGTTAAAGAGTAAATTCTAAAAGCTTTCAAAGTCAAGAGTCAAGGAACAAAAAAATATGGAAGATTATTGATACTAGGTGAAATTTTTACCTTATAAGCCTTTCGATGCAGCTGTCTTTTATCTCAGTCCTAAGTAAGTAAAGTCATCATCAATCTCTCAAGTTTTTTACACTTTTTAAAAGGCTTGATAACTTAAGTTGTATGTATTATATCTTGTTTAATTAGCTTTCACTATGGTAAATAATTCAATCTAAATAGTGAGATTTTATTTGACTTATATGAGACCATTGATGAATGGCTTCGGATAGAAGGATAAGATTTTATATGACCAACAACTTGAAAATTTCAAGCCTGTTAAGAGACTTTTTGGAATAAACAAAGCAAAAGATACAAGAGACAAGAAGAAACTTGGTAGTTTTAAGTTAGTTTCTTCATAATTTTAACTTTTAATTTTAAGGAAAATTAGTCAATATCTTTCTATGACATACATCTTATTTTTGTTTTAATATAATTTTGGTGAGAAAGTTATGTTGGAGAGTGAAAAGAACTAACAAAAGTAGCTACGAGGTTTTTAAGCCTCACATGTAGTGCTACGGATTATGAAAGATATCATAGTACATTTGACTAATTGCATACTAAGAGAGAAAAAATCACTAAGTGCAACAAAAATTAAATGCAAATGTTTCTGTTAAGTACAATCTTCAACTTGATATAAGACAAAAGGCTAGAGAAGAGAAGGAGGAAACTTATGATTCTATATGTTTGTCTGATATTCTATTAGATAATAAGTGGATTATTAAAAAAGAAGACCATAGCTTACCACTTGATATTTCTTGAATGAATATATATGATTGTTTCACTTTTAATGAAAGAACTATAAGCCTGAAAAGAAAGAAAAAAAAATTTGTTAAATAAAAAAATATAATATATATATATATATATATATATATATATATATATATATATATAAAATTCATTTTAGTCCTTCAATTTTTTTTTTACGTTATTTTTTTTTATTAGCTCTGTTATATAACTTAATAAAAACATTCTATATAGTGTTAAAGTAGCCTTAACGCCATTTATTGAGGCAAAGATTATATCTGAAAAAAATATTAGAAGCCTAACTTATATTTCTAGAATATTAATGTCTCCATCCCAAACATTGTGCCCTTCTAAACTCATAAGACAATTTTCAAGAATTGTTTCATATGTTATGACTATTAATAAGTTACAAGGTACGTTAATCACTATCTAATTTTGCATTATATTTATCTAAGCCTATATTCAGTTATGGTCAACTATTATGTAGCTTTGTCTAGAGTTCAAAGCAAACAAAGTATTAAAATTAAAATTTTAATACATGATAAAGAAGGAAAAGTCTTGAAAACTACTACAAATGTTATCTTCGAATAAATTTTCCAGAATCTATAATAGAAATAAAAGACAAATTTTTTACGTATTTATCTATTTATCTATACAATTATACATTAACTTTCTTTGAATCACAATTATTAATCTTTGTTGCTTAAAAGATATATTAAAAGTGAAATCGTGACGAATAATTATTAACATGTTTATTACAATTTTTTCAAAGCAACTTCATATCCTTCTTTCTTTAAAGTTTGTAACAACTTGAAGGTAAATAATGTATGAGAAAGTCATTTTACTCTATACTTTTAAAATAATTAAATTTTTAGTCACTCGTATTTGTTGTTTCTCTAATTTATTAATTTTAGTAAAAAGTAATTTTGCATTCATTTGTGTAATACACGATGTAAAAACTCAAGTTAAAACTATTGTCATATATATATATTTTTTAAATTGAGAGTATCTTTATATAATTAATAAAAAAATTATTATCCCATACGAAAGTATAAAAGAACGTGTCTGGCGTAGGTCAAACAAAGTAAAATATGTTTGACACAGGAGATTAGGGATGATATTTGCAGATTATTTTGAACTTTTGATTATTTTTTTTTATGTTATGTTCAACTCAGCAACTAAATTGACCTATGGTTATGGTAAACTTAAATTAATATTGAAACGTTAGATGAATTTACAAATATAATTCCTCTTGCGTTATGATAAGCATGTTTACTTAAATTAATCTTTATATGAGAAAAATTTATTCTTGACATATTTTTTCTTACGTGGTTCTAACACAGTACACACTTTTATTTAAAAATTAACAAATTCGAGCAAGCACAATCCCATTATAGTAAAGAGGTCATCTATAATGACATTTCCAATAAATTAAGAATATCTTTAAATATTTATAAACAAAATTATTATCTCGTGTGAAATCACGAATACAGTACTGGTTCTTTTTTTTTTTTTTTTTGCTATTAAACAGGACTAAAAGCCTAAAACAACACACAAGCCTAGGCAAACAATGAGACCAAAAAACACCTAAAGAATCAAGCAGTATTATTTGGGGTATTTATTGTAAACTGTCCATTCAAGATAACCCT